AGAGAGAGAGAGAGAGAGAGAGAGAGAGCGAATTTTCTTCAATTCAATTCAAAGTTCATAACGCGGTTCATAACTTTCAACTATACCTGGTACATATACATACACACGTATATACATTCTCTTTCGTATTGTTTCAAAATACAGGATGTGATTGTCGCTGCTTATTGTACAATATTTGTAAAATATTGATGAAATTTTGTTGAACCTTTAGGTTTTCACAACACCGGCCAAGCTCCAGTTGCACTGACTTGCATCTTTCGATACGAGCGTAATTGATAGATTCTTGGACGAATCTCTTCTAAACCAGGCAACGTTGTGTCTTGTCTACTCAGAAGCTAGAATGTGAAACTCACTCCGGGAAGCAAAAGTTTCTTTGAAATTTCTTTCCTTCGACAGGGAAGGCCCAAAAATCTATCGTTCGTCCCATACGCATCGACAATTATTGGCACAGACAGCTACATGCGGCGGAAACATCGAATGGAGTTTTGCTACACAGGAAGTATATGTCGTGTGTGTGTGTGTGTGTGTGCGCGTGTGCGTGTAATATTCTCGTGTGAAAATGATCGCACCGAAACTCCCCTGTATCGCGTACAGAGAGATCGTACGCGATACGAGCAGGAGCTTAGGTGGAGCACTGGATTGGAAATTTTCTGTCTAATCGATCATCGACATAGACCGCAAAAAAACTGCGCTCTAGCTTTTGTTGCTACTCTCGTCCGTGCTCTTGCCGCCCACCCCATTAGCGGGCGGGATCGAAGGCTCGGTATTCCGACGCTTCATCTTATTTTTCTTCAACATGGTAGCCTGGAGCGAACAAAGGAACAAGGAGACATTAGTTTTGTGTGCGATCAGGGAATTAGGGAGTGTGCATGCGCTGCCGGACACCAGCGGTTGGATCACGCTCTTATATGGTGTCTGCGTAGAGCGCCATGGCAAGAAGTTACAGATCTAGCAGATAGTGCAAATAAAGATGCAAGATCCTGCAGAGAGTCATCGTGCGACAAATAGATGAACAGAGCAGAGCCATCGTTCTATCGAAATCTAATCGCCTCGGCAGAATGAATGGACACTCGGGCAATATATCGTTTGTCGATTATTCACATCGCGTCAATGCTAGCTAGAAATTTGAACTTTACGAGGAAATGTTACGGACTGCGTAACAACAACAAGTTTGAACAGATGATAAATAATTTATAGTTTTATATTCCAGTTTCGGAAAGCTTTCGCGTGGGTGTTGCCATGAATGTCAAAACTACATTTTAATTTATTCCCCCGACAAACTAGGGAATAAGTTTTCCAGTGTTTCTCGTGCGAATTAGCATGCAAAGTGAGCTTAACGTAGCGTAAAGATCAAAGTTCCACGTCCATCCTACTGTTTCTGCGTTTCGATAGAATTATGGAATCGTTATGAACGGCCTGTGTGTCAAGATTACCTTTAGCGCTGATTTCAGAACGACAATATCTCCTGGACTCTGGACCCACGGCTCTCCGTCCACTTGTACCGGTATGTCAGAGTGCAAGTGGATCTTTATGTGTCCTCCCTGTGGAACATTTGAACACTGATGCATCGTGCAGCGATAAATAGAAAGGGAAGAAAAAACAAAACCAAAAGACTGAAGGGAAAAACTAAAAAAAAAAAAAAGGAAAAATATCTGACACACTGCATTTGCTCACGATTGCATTGTATAATTAAATTACCTGCGCTATCCTCATCGCTGTACGAAGACCAGATTGAATTTGTCCGAGATGCATCACACCCGTCACTCCGACCACCTCCAACATTCCATCTCCGTGATTTGGTGTATAAAACTGATCTTCCTTAGTGTCTGGACCCCAAGGATTTGCCCCGGAACCCCAACTACGAAACGTGACGAAATTTTAAATTCTAAGAGACCTCGACAAGCAGCAACTAACGATCCTGGCCATCTTATTTAATGATCCTAATGATCTTGGTCAATGATCATGTTATTACGTTCGTAAAGGATTGATCTTTATCGACGACATGTATACCTTAAAATATTTAAAATAATTATCCCTTCGACTTGAGGTAATTCAACGACCCTTCCATCCACTTCCAGTCGGATCTCTTTGTGCAAATCCTTGCAGGGCTTCCGTTTCACCATTTTTCGCAAGCCCATGGTCACGTACACTCCCTTGTTGCGCAATCTGCTCTTGAATTTGTTCGGATTTTCCTCCCTGGCGTTGTGAAAATCCAAACAGAGATCGGCATCGAGGCCAATGCCAAAGTAGTTGTTCATCACGAATATTTGCGTATTGTCTTCGCTGGTCGCGCCCGCTCCTGTCATCATATATTCGTGAAGCTCCCTTCGTTCTCACCGAGAATTGTAATTAACCCTTTGCGGTCGGAATTAATTTCAGTTGAAAGAGCAATGATACATAACATGCAAGATTATGAAGGATAAACAAGATTTATTAATTCTTTTGTGAACTTTAGATATATGTTTACACAATAATGTGTAAATATCTTTCAAAGCAGTCCTGGTTTTCCATTACATGTATCGCAAAAATAATTAGCTTGGCGTTTTCCACCCTTGATCTTTCTGTTTGAACATACAGACAACAATCTTTACTCTTTA